TCTAGCCACCCTCATCGCCACTAGGTAGGATCTAACATGCATCCTTACCTGTGCTCGGTCGGATTCGGTTCGGCTAGCCCTCCAACTGCTCTCTAGGCGTCTTTTACGGCGTTTCATCTCTCTCAGCCCCTCCGTAAACCAAGGGGCCAGTTGAGATCTGCGCCGGGTCAGAGGCCGCAAAGGCACGACTCGGTCCAGTTTAGTTCTACAGAAGTTAGCAATCGCTATAAAAATTAGAATTTAGCCTATCCAAATTAATTAATTTTCAAATTAATATCTTACAGATACAAAACAGTTCTGACTTTTTTAATATTTTGGACAATAAACTTTCCAAAGACCACCTGCAGACCAAATGCTTTAAACTACAAATTAGAGCCATCTTAAATATGCAAAATATTATCTCTATAGAAGAGGGGTCTCCAACCAACCGACTGTGGAACGGCACCAGTCCAAAACCCGCCAGGAACCGGGCCACGCCAGCAAGCGAAGCCCAATCCATGCATGTGCAGGATACAGGCAGTAAGCAAAACCATGTCTCCCTGGCCCACAGAAAAAAAGCCCTCCATGGAACCAGTCCGACACTCAAAAGATTTTTTTTTGGGGGGGGGCAGCTGGTATAGAACAGTTCCACACAATTTTTGCAGTTTACTCTTTCAATTTTATAAAACATACAGGTGGTTAGCTCCTACTCAAAATTTATCTGTTTTAGAAACTAAGCAGGATCAGGCTTCATTACTAACTGAGCAAGACAGTTCCAGAGAATATCATGTCTAGAGGCATCCTGGGAGAAGGCAATGGAAAATCACTTCCATACTGTTGCTGAAAAGATATATTATCTTTAAGGATATCGGCACAGGAATCAAGTTCAACCTGAATTTATTTAATTAGTTTCTCAGCATCCAAGTAGGTGAAAGTGCTATTTAATAATTAATCCCTTAAGTTACTTTGACTGAGAACAAAAACAGCCTTTAAAAAAAAAAGCTAAGGGGTTATTTACAAAAAAAAGCTTGGTGAAGCTAAGGGAACATAGTTGCCCCATGAAATGTACTCAGGAAGCAAAATGTAATTGCCTAGTTAGTCCTTACAAATATGAAATAACATGGTTAAGGCTGGCTGGAGCTTTTGGAGGTGGAATTCAAGCATTTCCAGAGGAATTAGGATTGGTGGTCTGCCTCTATTCCAGGGGTGTCAAACTCAATTTCACTGAGGGCCAAATCAGCATTGTGGTGCCCTCAGGGGGGCCGGGTAGGTGTGGCCCACTGGGTGGATGTGGCTGCAGTGGTCAGAGATGAGTGGGTGAGTGTGGCCAGGTGGGCATGGCCACCTCGCCATTGCTCGATGGGGGGATGCCTATGGGGGCTGGATAGGGTTGGGGGAGATCCAGGGGGGTCTCTGGCAGGTAGGGCGGTGGGCAAGAAGCTTCTCCTGCGGGGTGAGGTGAGGCAAAACAAGGGGCAGGGCAAGGAGAGGCATGGGCCAGGGATGCTGTTGCCTGACACCATCGGCCCCCGTACACAGAGGACAAGGAGTGCATGGGGGCTGACGGTGTCCGTCAGCAACCACGGTCTGCTGGCTCCTCGACCGGCGCACTCTGCAAATACCGGGCCATCCCTCCAGCAGCAGGTGGAGTAGGGGAGGTGAGGGGGTGGGAGGCACGTGATACGCCTACTCAGTCCCATCTGTTTTTGCTTGGAGTTGGAGAGATCGCTGTTGGTCATCTCCTCGGCCCCTTTGTAGATCTTGCCCTTGCCCTGTGTGTGGAGCCTTTTCCCCTCATGCACCTCGGCCCCGCCTTGGGCTGGCTCCACCAGAAGCTTGTGCAGGTCCATTAAGCCGCTGCCGCCCGGAACAGCAGGCCTGCCCAGCACAAAGGAAGCGAAGCAGCCACCTAGGAAACTAGAGTAGAGGTGGTAGAGCACACCCACGCCCAGTAAGCAAAAGGCCATCCCAAGCAGGGAAAGCCGGATCCCCATCGGCGCTATGGTTGCCCAGGTCCAGCCAGGATTGCGTACCTCCTCCCATCTCTGCTGGGGCTGGACAGCCATGGCACCGATGGGGATCCGGCTTTCCCTGCTTGAGATGGCCTTTTGCCTGCTGGCCCGGGGCGTGCTCTACCACCACTACTCAGGGCTTCCTAGCTGACCGCTTCGCCTTTGTGCTGGATGGGCCTACAGCTCTGGGCGGTGGCCTAATAGACCTGCACAAGCAGCTGGCAGCCGTGGCTGTGGCGGGTACCAAGGTGCGCAAGAGGAATGTACTCCACCCGCGGGCCAAGAGCAACACCGAGGGGGCTGAGATGTCCAGTGGCGACCTATTCTCCAACAAAAAAAAATGGGACTGAGTAAGTGTATCCGGCGGTACACATCACATGCCCTGACTCGTTCTGCCAGTGCTGCCGCAGCGCTGCTGCTGGAGGGCCAGCCCAGTATTCACAGCAGACTATGCATTCCCTGCTGCCAGACGACATCAGCCCCCGTGTGCTCATTGCCTCCAGTGCGTGTGCCTTGGGGGCTGCCGGGCTGGGCAGGGCCAGAGCCAGGGCAGTGGGGGTCAGTCCCTCGCCATCGCCAGGACATCTCCGTGGGCCAAATATTGGCCAATCGTGGGCCGGATATGGCCTGCGGGCCTTGTGTTTGATGTGTCTACTCTATTCCATCCCATTGAGCAATTTAAATGATATAATAATATAGAGTAGAAGAAAAAATTGTTAAAAACCAATGTAAACAATTAAATGTTAAGAGACATCATTTAAAATGAAGGCTAAATGAATGGGAAATTGAGAAGCAGAGATATTTGAATGTAGAAAAACATTCCTGAACATTAGATGATTGGGTTATAGAAAACTGTTCACAGCAAAATGGTTATTAAAATATCTTCATTAAATATTCTAATTAAAACAACATTTTTAATGCTGGAAAAATACAACTGATTACAAGTAACCAGAGTTGATTAGGTAAAGGTCCGATCCGGGGACCACGTTGTCCAAGATGGCGATCGTGCTAAACAAAGAAGAGGCGACTCCGAAGGAGTAAGCAAGAAAACAACAACAAGCCCGGACTTTAAATTTCCCGCCGCAGAGCTTGATTTGCTGGTCAGCTGCTGAGCAGCTGATCGACGCTGAGCGGGGGAAGCGCGCGCGCTCTCTGGTCGGCGATTCCCCAACCGAGGAATAAAGATTTCAAAAGATATTGGAGGAGAACTCCGGGTAGTTTTGGAAATCCTGGGGTTTTGAATTTTTTGGGTACGAAGGAAATCGTCCCTTCGTTCTGGCTTCCCTCGGAGCTGTCTCCGCAAGCTCCAGTTGAGAGCAGATTGCCCTTAGTCCTCAGATGCTACCCTGTATTC